AACCATTGTGGCAAACAGTATGGCATTTCCTTAAAAAACTGAAAATAGAAGTACCATTTGACCCAGCAATTCCATTACTAGGAATATACCCTAAAGACGTGAGAGAGAGCACACGAACAGACATATGTACACCTATGTTCACTGCAGCACAATTCACCATAGCAAAGAGCTGGACACAACCTAAATGCCCATCAACAGATGAGTGGATAACCAAGTTATGGTATATCCACACAATGGAATACTATGCCACCTTAAAGAACAATGAGGGATACGCAAATCATCTCGCAAGGTGGATGAACCTGGAGGACATTATGCTGAGTGAAATAAGTCAATCGCAGAAGAACAAGTATTGTATAAGCCCATTACTGTAAAAAGACATCCCGACACTATGGGAGAGAGATCCAATAGAGCTACTTACTACCTCAGGACCATAATACTGGGGTACACCAGACTCAATTGGCACAACAAAATACGAAAAAAGTATTGCTCCACATCCTACATTGGTGAGTAGCGACTGGGGTCTTAAAAGCTTTCAAGAAGCCATCTAGGATGCAGCTAATGGTCTCCTAGCATCAGAAGTGAAAAAGAAAGCACAAAAAACAATGGCCCTCGAGACCAGAACTGGATGGTGCGCAGCTACCAATGCCAGCCACTCAGGAAAGGATCAAATCTGGAGATCCTGGATAAAGTGGGAGGGAAATTTTTGGAACAAAATCCAAAAATTCAATAATGACCAGAATTACTGGTCAGATAAGTCTGGCGAGAATCCCAATACTATGGTCCTGAAATACATTCGGCACCTGGAATAAAACTCACCCCCAGGGGTGGGCTCTCAGCCCAATAGTTAACAAGATGTACACACAGGCCACTCAATCCAGGATGCCACACCCACACACTCAATGGTAATACATCCCTTCAAGCAATAGACATAGGACACCAAAGGACCAACATTCAAACTGAGGAAATGCAGGACAAACAGGAGTGCATAATTATGAGGGCCACAGGAGGAGTGTTGCATGGTAGGGAGGGGAGGAGACTTGGTTAGGGCTGGACATGGCGAATGGGGAATGAAACTAAATGTACGCGTGACTTTGAATGTAAAACAAACTCTTAAAAAGAAAAATCAAAGACAAGTTGACACCAATATGAACACATTCTTACTATTAATAGATTCTTTATAGTAAAAAAAAAATAGCAGTTTTATTTTAATATCTAAATTTACTTAAATATGTATTTACTAGCAAAATGCTTTCATAGAAAAAAAAATTATTTAACAATGGTTAAATTTACATCTAGTACCAAAAAAAAAAAAATATCTATCATATTGCTACCATCTAGACCTTACTGTCTTTTCAAGCTTACTATATAATATTACTTAATTCCATTCAATTTCTGAAACCAGCCTGTAAAGTTATTTTTAATAAAATAAATATTTGTTTTTTTTACTAAAATGAGATAAATAAATCAAATTTTGACACCAAGTTAACCTCGTCTGAGATATTTAATGTTTCTGGACCTCACTCTTGTCAGCTATTAAATGAAGCTCGATGAAAACACCTCTCTATTGCCAATTAGCTCTAAAATTCTGTTAATTCTATAATAAGGAAACAGTAAGATACCATATGGTCATGTTGTTGTTGTTGTTATGTGCTGTTCAGTCTGACCCAACTCATAGTGGCCCCTCCTTGGTTTCCAAGGCAGTATCACTATAGAAGTAGATTCCCCAACCTTCCTTCCGAGGAGTGGCTAGTGGGTTTGAACCCCCAGCCTTCTGGTTAGCAGTCAAGTGCCTTAGGCACTACGCTACCAGAGCTCCTCCGTAGGGTCATACCATACTTAAAGCTAAGAGTAATACAGGAAAAACTAGATCTACACAGGCTAAAGGACTATGTAATTACTGTTTACACAAAAAGATTCTCTACTTTCTGCCAAGAATTTCCTCTAAGCAAGCTCCCTAAATATAATTTACACAAAACTCTTCAAAAACATACCTCATGTTTACAGAAAGCGCAAATCCATAATCTATTTCTCCATTAATAATTATAATCATCTCACAATGGGGACCCCTCCTTGGGTTTCCGAGGAGGTATCTCTAACAAAGTAGACTGCCCAGTCTTCCTGTCAAGGAGTGGCTGGTGGGTTTCAACTACCAGCCTTCTGGTACCAGTCATATGCCTTAGGTACTACACCACCAAAGCTGCTTATATAAAATCATTTTAGTCAGAAAGGCCATTTACAAGTCAAGACATTTCAGACATTTTAGAAAGTATCCAAGTAGACAATATGTAATGGGGCTGTTTTTCTTTGTTGAAGTGATGTGAAACATAAGATTTTATCTCAGAGACACAGAAATTATATTTCTATAATTAAGTATAATATACTGGTGAAAGAAAATATTTAATATGAAAATATTACCTGATCAATGATAGAATTTAGCTTGGTAAGTAATAGAAATCCTCGACCATGAATAAGGTACTGCCCAAGGGTTGCCATGTGTGTCTCTTCCTCTTCCTCCTCTCTGGCCTCCACCCTCTGGACCACTGCATTGCAAAGCCGGTTGACATCAGTCAGAAATTCACGTGCCAATGAGTTACTGTTAGTGCTCATGACCAAACTAGAAGATAAATATTATAAAAAATAAGATTAAAACAACTTAAAAATTTTACATTGTTAAAACTAGGTCTTTTTGTTGTTACTTGTTTTTAAATGAAGACTGATTTAAAATTACTAGGGATTCGTACTTAACTCTATAATATTTTCACATCTACTTCTGATCTAGTCGAGTGGTCCTTAATTCCTGCCATGACAGAAACTAGTCCCAGAGTTTGAAATGCCAAAGCATAGCAAAGATCGGGTAAGTGAAAGCACCTGGATAAAAGACACAGGAATGGTGGCAGTGAAGGTAGATCCTAAATTTCTCTCTTAAAAAAACCCTCACCATATGGAAAAACCAATCACTAACTTTATACGGAAAGGAAGGAGACCTCGGATAAGCAAAGCTCTACTGAAGAAGAAAAACTAAGTAGGAGGTCTCACATTACCAGATCTCAAAACCTACTATACAGCCACAGTAGTCAAAACTGCCTGGTATTGGTT